ACGGTCGGTCGTCAATGTCTCTGTGTTACATCGGCGGGCTCGTCTTTGTGTAATCGGCGGCAGACGGTGAAAAACGTGATCAGGCCTCGTTAATAGTAAGAATATCACCGAGCAAATAATGCTCATATTATAGAACCATTTCAACGATTAGTATAAAAAAAAAGGTCGAGGTCTTACAGTTCTACATCGCAATTAAGGTAGCTCGCTATTTGGATAACGTATCAAGAGAAGTGTCCTACAATGGGTTTATTTTAAAGTAAGAATATGAAGTGAAAATTTCATTATTAAATATATATTATCATTTCCACATATTTTAATGTTGTATTATAAAAAAGTATAAACAAATTAAAATAAACAACTTTTTATTTACGACTGGGGCGATGATGGGGTGATAAAAGTATTATTCATTGGCTTTGATCATTATTATTTCGTTCTTTTCCACGGAAACCTATATTTTTCTTTACATCATCGCATTCCCCGTAAAAAAATCTATAACCATCTATTTTTTTATTGAAAACGTATATGATATGAAATCGCACGAGGCATTTATACAAAAGTTTCCATAAGCTCCCGTGTTAAAAATAAGAATTTTCTAATGCATTTTTTTAAACAATTTTCACGGAAACAGTATTTTTTCTTTACAGGAAATGAAAGATCGAAACTTTATTATTTAGTTCAACTTGTATTAAAATCGTATATTTTTTTGCAAATACTATTGAACTACCATAAACGGTTAAGGATATTCTATAATTTGTAAATACAGGTTCCAACATCAGTAGGCGATGTTACTATATTCTAGACAAAATAACAAATAAAATAACATGGATAATTCTTGTGTCAGCAAGGTTTAGACTTTCAAATGAACCGTTTGTTCGTTAATCGTTCTATTCAACGCGACGCTTCGGCTGTTTTTGGAAAAACGACTAGGAGTTCGCACTGTGCAACAGAGTATCCGCAGCGTAGGTGCATTCGTTGTAATTTCAACAACGTCCATAGCCATTCGTTTTCGTTTACACAGCACGTACATACATAGATGCGGCGTCTGGCGTTCGCAGTACAAATACTTTAAAAGTTGGAACTCTCCTAAAAGAGTGTAAGTACGTACGTGGCTCGTCTGTAGAGCGACAATTTTTTTGAACATTACGGTAGCTGCTGGTACACGAACTACCGAAGAAACTGGTTACGACAAAGCGTGTTTTAGTATTTGGGTTATGGGGTGTGGCGAAAGTGAGAGACCCGTGGGGATCGTCGTTTCACCTACATCACGCTTGTAACTTTTTTCCCAGTAAACAGAACAATTAGATTAAATTACAACGTTAACGAAGGAGAAAATGAACTCAGTACACCGCAAAGTTGTGGCTTTCTACTTATCCGAGAACTTGTAATTGGCAATGAGCTTGCGCTTTGCGCCGTTAAACAGCACGCGCGTTGAATTTAAAACGCAATTTCTTCATCGAACATAAAACACAATATGTACATACGTGCCTGCCTGTAATTAAAATATTAAACGTGCCACGTCTAAAGCACAAAGTATACTTTAATCGATGAACGGTTGTCGTACACTCGTACGAGATGAAAGAGATTTAAGACAAAAGAAGAAAGCGTTCAGCGTGCGTCGTTCATCAAGTGGTATTCCGACTTAACGAACGGGGAATGATTCGAGAAGCTTGCGGGAAACAAAGCAGATAGAGGAAGAATACATCACCGAATTTAAGTTGAAAGATTCCCGGTACATACACGGTGCACGTACATACGTAGGTACACGCACTTGAATTGTCTCCGGAAATAACGAATCGAGACGGCTTGTGACGACAAGGGACGCGACATTGCACCGATGCGAATGCAAATGGTAAACGCGAAGGCACAAGCTACTACATACGCAGAATACGTGGGCAGGTACGTACGTCGGTATTGATATTTGCTTAAGCTGCCCCGAGAAGCGTTTGCAAGCCACCGAAACCGTCTGCTCTTCGGACGATCAAAGCTTGCAAACGTTTCAAGGAACGTTGTTAATTTCCTTGTTGCCGTTAATTGTTGCCTTCGCGAATGTAAGCGCCGTCACGGAATTCCGTTCCCCGTAGCAATTTCTCCCGATAGATACGCGCGACGATATAAAACTGCAGTTACGGCAAATAAAAGTACAGTAAAACCGTCTCCTGTCTGTAGTAACACCGAGGTTTATCTCCGAGACGCACGTCGATAACGTTTCTTTCTAATGGAACTTCTATAATTACCAATGAACACTTCCGAGAACGGTCTTTTCTATTTTTTTCTTTCGACCTAAGGTAAATGTTCGTCTTGATTGAAATTCTATGGGATAATGTAAAATACTGAATCTGAATTTGTGGATAGGAGAAAACGTATGGTTTATCTTTTATTTACATACATATGTATGAGCATTAATAGTAATTCCTCGTCCTGGCGCGAGTCCTAAGAACGTCTACGAACTTTGTACCCCTCTCAGCCTTCCACCCGCTTTTCCCCTAACGTCTACGAGTCGGTAAGCTGCGAGGGCGAGGGTCGCTTTTAAGGTCCGTGTTGATTAACGGATTGATTTCGTAGCTGCACGCGATGGTTCGCGGGGCTCGTAACCGGTCGCTGCTGCCTTTGCGAAGACGCATGTATTTCTTTACTCCACAGATATTCAAATCTCACTTAATCGCCGATCCGTCTTGTAACTACAGTTCAATAATGTTTAACTCATGAGCTCAATCATAAAAAAAGTTATTTGATTCCATGGTGAAAGCAATTCACCCGTCGTTCTATCAAAAAACGTTTTTTTATATAATTTAAGAAAATGTTTGCGGAGGTGAAGGACAATCCATTTTCCAATGGGAAAGTCATCTTGGAGCTGACACCGCACTTAATTATTCCAGCGACCATAGGTTCGCACGTGTTATGTATGCGGGACGTTAATCGGTCTCGGTCCCGGGGATCAACGTTAGTCCCTATCTGTCGTGCACGTTTCATCGTGGTGCAAATGGCGAACTCGTATTTCGAGCGTGTCGCGCCAGCAGAAACGCGCGCGGAAAATACTAAGATGTTCCACGCACGAAGCGACTGATTTTGTGCACCGTTGCGCAATGAGTTCTTAAACTACATTAGAACAAAATCTTAGATTATCAAACTTGTGCACAACGTTGCTTCTACTATTACGTGTACGTACTTATAATATGTTTCTACTATATGCATAGTAATATAA